AATGAAGCCTTTTAACAATAAGAGGTCATTTCAGAAGGGAAGCTCACCTGTGTAAAGCGCCTGCGTGCACTCTACTATCGGATGTCACAAATAACTCACGGGTAGTAACAGGATCCATTCTTTGGATTAATGGGTTTCAGACAATCAAAGAAAATTGAAATTAGAAAAAACATACAAATGTGAAATGTACGGAGGCATTGTCATTGATACTCAATGGCCAGTTGAATGACCGGAAACACAGACACTAAGGGTCTATTCAATCAGATCCGCTTTAGCCGACATCCGCATAGCTGATGTTTTGACCGTGTCGGAGGTGGAACTGCGTTAGAGCTGTCAAATCCACAAGCAGCTCCTGGCATTATACCTAAAGCGGACATTGCCATTGGCTGCACCGAGTTGCATTAAGAGAAATCCCATGCAGCCTTGTTTACAAGTTCGAACACTGGAACGTGTGAGACATAATCTTCAGCTCAATTAGGCTGATAGAAATCGGCATTATTTTGTTTAATAATTCTCAATTTGAGCGTCATTATTATAATATATTTTTCTTTTGTAATTTTAACCCCTTTTTCTCCCCAATTTCGTGATATCCAATTGCGATCCAATTACGATCTTGTATCATCGCTGAAACTCCCCAACGGGCTCAGGAGAGGTGAAGGTTGAGTCATGCGTCCTCCGAAACATGACCCGCCAAGCCGCACTTCTTAACACCTGCTTGCTTAACCCGGAAGCCAGCCGTACCAATGTGTCGGAGGAAACATCATTCAACTGACGACCTGAAGTCAGCTTGCAGGCGCCAGGCCCATCACATTTAACGCGAGTGGGAAGGGTGTGGCTTTGTGACAATGATCAAGAGCAGCTGCTCACAGATTTGACAGGTCCAACCTCCAACATTGGCAAAACATCAGCTATGCAGGTGTTGGCTTTCGCTGGTTAACGCGTAATCTGTTTGAATCTAAGCCTAAATTATAATAATTTTGTGCAAATAGTCTGTTCTTCATATGTGCTCAATGGTGTTGAAACGAGATATAATGATCCATTATAGATATATTACTATGTTATTATAGCTATTACTTTGGTATTATCATTATTAAACTAAAAAGGTTCACCAATCAAAAACATGCTTCACTATGGGTATTTGAGAGGCAATTTTGAATTTCATTTGTGTGTTTGAAAGAACTATAGAGATGAGAAGCTTCAGGACCTTACCAATGATGAACATTGGACATGAGTTACTGTAATGCTATTGGCTAACCATATTTTCCTACATGTATGATTTACAGACTGTTTGTGTGTACTGAAGGTTATGACTCAGTCCTGCTGGTAGAATACTGCTAGCCAGTGTCATGTACACAGTTCTGCCAAGTCTGACCAGGAGGAAGCTTTGCTGATCAGCCACTGTGACTGACTGACTAGCTGGCAGTGCATGGCAATCCCACCCTGTTACTGTCACAGTGTGTATAGCAAACAACAGTACATGCATGTACTGTATGTAACAAGTGCAGGCTACACACACATACGTCCTATTCAGAGCTACAGTAAAGCCATACTGTGAGAAGATTTGCAGTATATCATTTCAACTGTGATAAAAAACAAACATAATGGGCATTCGGAAAGAATTCAGACCCCTTGAATTTTTCCACATTTTGTTACGTTACAGCCTTATTCTAAAATTGATTCAATTGTTTTTTTCCTCATCAATACCCCATAATGACAAAGCAAAAAATACGTATTTACATAAGTATTCAGACCCTTTGCTATGAGATTCGAAATGTGAAGTATCACATTTACATAAGCATTCAAACCCTTTACTCAGTACTTTGTTGAAGCACCTTTGGCAGCGATTACAGCCTCAAGTCTTCTTGGGTATGAGCTACTAGCTTGGCACACCTGTATTTGAGGAGTTTCTCCCATTCTTCACTGCAGATCCTCTCAAGCTCTGTCAGGTTGGATGGGGAGCGTCGCTGCACAGCTATTTTACGGTCTCTTCAGAGATGTTCAAAAAGGTTCAAGTCCGGGCTCTGGCTGGGCCACTCAAGAACATTCAGAGACTTGTCCCGGAGCCACTCCTGCGTTGTCTTGGCTGTGTGCTTAGGGTCATTGTCCTGTTGGAAGGTAAACCTTCGCCCCAGTCTGAGGTCCTGAGCGCTCTGGAGCAGGTTTTCATAAAGGATCTCTCTGTATTTTGCTCCATTCATCTTCCCTCAATCCTGACTAGTCTCCCAGTCCCTGCCGCTTAAAAACATCCCTACAGCATGATGCTGCCAACACCATGCTTTACCGTAGGGATGGTGCCAGTTTTCCTCCAGACATGACGCTTGGCATTCAGGCCAAAGAGTTCAACCTTGGTTTCATCAGACCAGAGAATCTTGTTTCTCATGGTCTGAGAGTCATTTAGGTGCCTTTTGGCAAACTCCAAGCGGGCTGTCATGTGCTTTTTACTGAGGAGTGGCTTCCGTCTGGACACTCTACCATAAAGGCCTGATTGGTGGAGTGCTGCAGAAATGGTTGTCCTTCTGGAAGGTTCTCCCATCTCCAGATGAACTCTGGAGCTCTGTCAGAGTGACCATCGGGTTCTTGGTCACCTCCCTGACCAAGGGCCTTTTCCCCTGATTGCTCAGTTTGGCCTGGCGGCCAGCTCTAGGAAGAGTCTTGCTGGTTCCAAACTTCTTCCATTTAAGAATGATGGAGGCAACTATGTTCTTGGGGACCTTCAATGCTGCAGAAATGTTTTGGTACCCCTCCTCAGATCTGTGCCTTGACACAATACTGTCTCAGAACTCTACGGACAATTCCTTCAACCTCATGGCTTGGTTTTTGCTCTGACATGCACTGTCAACTGTGGTACATTATATAGACAGATGTGTGCCTTTCCAAATCATGTCCAATCAATTGAATTTACCACAGGTGGACTCCAATCAAGTTGTAGAAACATCTCAAGGATGATCAATGGAAACAGGATTCACCTGAGCTCAATTTCGAGTCTCATAGCAAAGGGTCTGAATACTTATGTAAATAAGGTATTTCATTTTTATTTTTTCATTTTTGAAAAACCTGTTTTCGCTTTGTCATTATGGGGTATTGTGTGTAGATTTATTAGCAAAACATTTAATTTAATCAATTTTAGAATAAGGCTGAAAAAGTCAAGGGGTCTGAATACTTTCCGAATGCGCTACATATATGCATGCATGTCACATATATACACTGCGTGTACAAAACATTAAGGACACCTGCTCTTTCCATGACATAGACTGACCAGGTGAATCCAGGTGAAAGCTATGATCCCTTATTGATGTCACTTGTTTAATCCACTTCAATCAGTGTAGATAAAGAGGAGGAGACAGGTTAAAGAAGGACTTTTAAGCCTTGAGACAATTGAGACTTGGATTGTGTATGTGTGCCATTCAGATGGTGAATTGGTAAGACAAATTATTTAAGTGCCTTTGAACAGGGTATGGTAGTAGGTGCCAGGCGTACCGGTTTGTCTCAAGAACTATAACGCTGCTGGGTTTTTCATGCTCAACAGTTTCCCATGTGTATCAAGTATGGTCCACCACCCAAAACACATCCAGCCAACTTGACACAACTGTGGGAGTCAACATGGGCCACCATCCCTGTGGAACGCTTTCGACACCTTGTAGAGTCCATGCCCTGACAAATTGAGGGGGGGGGGGGGGGGGGGGGGGGGGGGGGGGGTTGTACACTCAGTGTATGTATGTCACATGTCCTAACTGTCTTTGGATAAGAAGTGGGCAAAATAACATTCTCTGTTAAGCTGTGTGTGTGTGTGTGTGTGTGTGTGTGTGTGTGTGTGTGTGTGTGTGTGTGTGTGTGTGTGTGTGTGTGTGTGTGTGTGTGTGTGTGTGTGATGTGGTGGGGACTTCTACATTTGTTGCCATAGCAGCATACACAAAGTTTTCAATACTCCTTATTCTTGTAACATTGTAAATATATATTTTTTATCTGCTATCCCTTAGCTATGGCTGCCTTACACACACTGAGACACATGTTGGTTTTGTGAAACACTCAGCCAGACACCTTCCAACATTTCATCACTCTATCCAGTTGTCATGCAACTTTCCAGCAGTTTTAAGACACTCTGAGCCATTTTAAGAATATTCCCATGACATTCCCAGAACATTGTTGCAGACATATCTTTGCAGACCACAGTTTGACCATCAAAACGGGAATGCCAAAGCTCCCAGAGCAATATGACTGTAAAGACTGCAGTTTTCTGTAGCATCATGAAAACCTTTAAATTTACCCGACATTCCATAAACACTCAGTGTTTGCTCGGAAGCTGAGCAGAAACAAATATTTTCTGCCTTTCCATGCACGCACACACACACACACTTTACAGTCATGCCTGCTGTTAATATTTTTTTTACATATGTAATACCAGTTGAACCAAGCATGAATTCATTTGTATCTATCACTGGCACCCTGACAATGCTGCTGCATTCATATGCACACACTAAGTGCCCAAATTCAGCATCACAACTTGTCTCTACTGGGCCTCCTTGTTGAGTCACTGACAACGTTATGTAATTACTGCATTGAGGCCAAACTAGCAAACATGCACAATATTTCAGTCTCCTCCTAGTCACTTCATCCTGTGTCAGAGCCTGTACTGTTTAGATGACACCTCACAATTATGTAGGTACACACGTGTGTAGAATAGCTAAATTGGTAAAATCCATGTGCAGCACCAATGTTCTCTCTCACTCGCTCTCTTATATATATATATATATATCGGTAATTCTCTGTCTTTACTGGTTCTGACACCACAGGGAAGTTGATGCATATGGATTGGATTTGACACATTGCGGTAGCTCTCCTTGCTGCTGAAATGCAGTGAACAATTTTGGTCAACGTGAAAACGTTAGGCCTATACTAGTAGCCAAACAAGGGCAAAGACAAAAATACAAGGATTTATCATTTCATCGAGAGGACAGTGGCATGAAAGACACACATTTGCAGACATTACAAAATTACAGAAGCGGTTATCATGTGTTCAGCGTTCTCATACTAACATCTGTTGCACGAGGCACATCTCTCCCTTACAAAAAAAAAAAAACATTAGGTAGGCTACTTACCATGTTGACTTCAGAAACCATGTCGATACTTGCGATATCTATGCTCATTCCAACGTCCACAGGGGCACCTTTAAATCGCACGTAAAACACAGGTATCAGTGGCATTTTAATCAGCCAGCTCGCTGGCACGACAAATGAATCTGCATGCGACTTGTTATTAGTTATTAGCCAACATTCGGTAGACTTCACCCCGACAAAAGGAGTTTACCTCCAAAATCAGGCCTCAGACGAATGTCATACCCCTTTAGCAGTTTGTCCACGGTCGCTTTCACAAATGACATGTTGCTAGGCTCGTTGGCGCTAAAGGGAAAATATATGGTATTGATTCAGAATCTTAATCAAAAACTGCAGAGTAAGGGACAGGCAGAAACAAGACATCACACCCGTGGGATCTCACCTTTGAGCGCCGCAGACCATGGCGACCATTAGGAAAATACAAAAAATCCCCCAGCGTCCGCGGTCCAAAGCCGTACACATCACTAACTTTGATCAGAGAGATAGATGACTTTGAGCGAAGATTTGAGGAATGCAACTTTGTCACAGGCTGCACAATTATTCCAAGACCAACGCATGCGCGTCGTTTTACCAACATTCAAACTGTACTTGCACAAAAAACATGCTATTTCGTTAAAAATTCGGCGACTATGATAGAAAAACGGTATTCGCGCTTCACCTGAGCTGTCGATGCTGGCACAAGAAGAGGTCGCCGGGATGCATGCAGTAGCTGAACCGTATCAATATGCTAGGCAGATCCCATCACCTCCGGCTAATTCGAGCATTTCAGCAGACACAGCAGTGTCCGGAGCAGATTTGCATCATGCAGGTATCCCTGTGTTGGTCGGCTGAAGATCTTAAAATAATAAGCAATGAACGCGGCTCTCCGTTCACCTTTAGTCAGCCCTATGTGGGGCATCGTGCAAAACAAGCACGTCTGAGGAGCTGCGCATTTTCTGAGGTGTACCTGTACGCCCGAGCTCCCTCGTAGCGGATTCCATTCGCCACTCGTCACGGGCTAGAGCCCAAGTTAAAAAAATTAATTAAAACCCAGAAAACGCATTAAGAATCGCAACGCACCAATAATTAATTAATGAGAGAAGGATGCGCTATTGGAGCTGCAATGGCCCTTGCAGCTGCATGACATGCTATAGGCCTATGCTACAGGATGTATAAGAATAAATCTTCTTCTATTTCTAGTGATGATATTGACAGACTTCTGACTAATTTGCCAAATTAAACTAATGTGCATTTTATCTGGTCACAATGTGCTAGACCACATGATTATGTCAAGTTAAATCATTGGTGTAGTGAGAATGGGTGATTTGGCCAGCATCAAATGACAAAACGGTCATATTTATAATGGCAAAATATTAGATTAGTGTGTGTGTGTGTGGTGTTTGTGTGTGAGAGAGAGAGAGCGAGAGAGAGAGAGAGTAGAAGCGAGAGAGAGAAAGAGCTCTCTAGATAGATCTCTCTCGCCTAGCTATCTGAGATAAGCGCTATAGATCTCTCTCTCTCTATCGCCCCCTCTATCCTCGCTCCTGCCTTACCGCTGTACCAGTTCTGTGAATCAATTGGTGGAAAAATGCATTTGACTTATCCTTGGTCTTCATACTGGTTTAGCTCTCAGGTTGTCTCAAAGGACCAATACATGGCTATGCAGTATGGGTATGTTGATGCATCACAGGACAGAACTGTTTAAAGATTCATGACTTCTGTTGGGTAAAATGGTACAGCATCAGTTGAAGCCTACTTGCTAGGGAGTGAAAGCAGTGGTGGATTGGCCATCTGGCAAATGCCAGATGGGCTGGACCATTTTTTAAGTGGGTGGGCCAGCTGAAAGGAAAAAATACATATATTTATTTGGGGGGGAAAAAGAGAGTGATGCAGCCCATGGGCCTGTTAAAATGTTTTTACCTGTGTGGTACAGCAGTAGTGGGCCGGTGTGGCTGAATTGCCAGAGCCTAATTTTGTTCCCAGTCCGCCACTGGTGACAAGCTATATCCAGTTTTGAAAAGTCAAGAACCACTTTCTAATTCCCTAGACATGTGATAATGAGTAATAACCATAAGTGTGAACAGTCTCATGCCTGCAAACCAGGGTTGTCAATTCCTCTTATTGATCACCAACTGGATCCCCTCTGAAGGTAGATCCCTGAAGCCTGTGTGTTTCATTCTTTGTGTGGCTCTCAAATTAAAATGAACTGAAATAAGAACTTAGATGATAATTCTTCATGATGTAGACTGCGCCAGACCTGGCAAGTACGGTATGGGCGTCTAGAGTGGAAAGTAATGGATTTGGTTTGATGTTTCGAACAATAAATGTACAACACAATTACACAAGGTTAGACTGATGGTGGTGCTGGGTACTCCAATAGGCTTTAAAAGATCAATGTAGTTACCTGTGTTTAGGGCGAAACTTCAACTTGCTAGTTAATGTTCATAGTTACTCTTCATTGCCTGCTTAGGAGCTGTCTATGGTTCTGAAAACCTTCCTTTCAGTGGTGCTGAAAAGACAGCCAATCGGGGACACACCTTCACACACATCTACTGCTCCTGACAAATTTCTGTTCATCTGCACAGGAGGAAGACTGGTTAGGAGTTGTCCACAGTGCTGATCCTGAAAAGTTTATGGCCCCTAGTGGCACTGAAAGGACAGCTACCATGGTCACACTCCTTCCCCCACAGCTAGTGCTCTAGATTGTTTGCTGTTCATGTGCACTGAATGAAGCCTGGTTAGGAGCTGTAGGAGCTGTCTGTGGTGCTGACAAGCTTATTATATGATCCCTAGTGGTGATGAAAGTACAGCTACCATGCTGTGAGTAATGGGCCACACACCATCAAATCAAAGTTTATTTGTCGTGTACACAGATTAGCAGATGTTAAAGCAGGTGCAGAGAAATGTTTGCGTTCACCTTCACCTAGTGCTACTGGCTAATTGCTGTTCATCTTCACTGAATGAAGCCTGGTTAGGAGCTGTCCATAGTGCTGATAAATGTATGGCCCCTTCTGGGACTGAAAGAACAGCAACCATGCTGCATGTGTGTTATGGGCCACACACCTTCACCAACACCCAGTGCTTTAGACTACAGCTAATTTCAATGGAATCATTTGATATTGTTTCAGTTCATGTTTGTTTGCAAAGCTTGAGATTTGGTTGGTAGGTCAACTAGGTGCTCCTAGACATTTTGTAATAGTCATGTTCCATTTACTTAATTATGTCTGCTTATGATAAAAGTAAACGTTGCACCATGCAAGCTTATATTTGTAACAGTTGCCTTGCAATGTACCTCTACAATAATGTGATAGTCAACAAGAAACAAAATAGAAAAAAGCAAGGTGGTATTATGTTCCTTTATTGTTCTGTTCTTCTAAAGTCATGGATCTGTTCTGTGAGTCACCTTCATGTTTTTACCATTGTAGTCAATACACAAAGGGTACAGAAGAGCAATCAGGGGAAACAACAATGCTGTACATTCAACCCTAGTGCTGCTATTATGTTGCCATGTCTAGCTTTCCTTCCCTTCTACTGCTACTGTAGTCTACCTGGCTCCATTCCCCTCCTAGGCAGGCAGAGGTGTTGCCCATGTGACTTCTGGCACCAGCTGCCTCTTTTCCCACTTTGACCCCCCATCCTCCTCTTCCTCCTCCCCTCTTTCTGCCCCCCCATCTCAACCCCCAGAAGCAGGGCATCTGCTCTCCCCTGCCCTTGGTGGTGCGTTAGATAACAACTGGGAAGAATGTCAGTAACTGTTCATGTCACACTGAAAATGGACCAAAACAAGTGTATAATGGACATGATGTTCATATCTAGTTTCAAGTTCTTCATGTCACGTGTACAAGTACAGTGAAATGCCTTTCTTGTTTGCTCTTTCCCAACTACGCATTACTCAATATCAGTAGTACTATATAAAAAACAAATACAAGTAAAATAGAACACACACGAGAAATGGAAATAAGAATACGAGAACGTAAGTGAGATGTATACACGGTCAGTTCCAGAGTCAGTGCCAATACCATATTTACAATGTGCATGGATATTGGAGTGGGAGGGTTAGATATGTATAGGTGTAACGAATAAATAAAGACTAAGCTAAGACTGTCTACAAGCCGCCGTTACATCTTTATGTCCTTGGGTTGTGCCTCTGTGTCCTTTCACCATGTCAAATTAGAATGAAAACTGACTGAAAATACAAATGTTTTTTCATTGTTGTTTTTCCATTACAGCTCTAATGGGAAGCGCCACATGTCTCCAGTTGTAACATAAGATGCAGTAACTTAGAAGCAATTTACATCTTCAGACTAATCAATTTTTCTAGAATGGATGTGTACAAGATTAATAATCTTCAGTGAATAAATGGATAAAGCAGTGCACCGTTTGCTAGCTTTCTGTAATTGATGCTATATTTTCTCTGGGATGCGCCGATGATGTACATTATTTGCTCAGCTAGGTTTAATCTCTGTGGTAAGTGTCATCACAACAGCTGCAGAAAAGACCAATGTGCACATTGTTGACAGGGCTCATTCATAATGGCTGTTGTCAGTGCCACGTAGCTCACTTCTATCCTTTCACAAAGTATACTCTGCAGAGAGAGACACCATAAAATTAATTATCTTGTTCCTGTGTTTGTCAGATCACTCTCAAACTTCAAAACAGACATACATTAATGGTGATATGCAGTGACATATACTGAATGTACAATACATGCTGATATATTTTCTCTGTCATGGTGATACATATGTAACTGCTGTTTCCAATGACTAAATACCTTTGGGCCATTGCAGCCAGTGTGACTGTGTGAGTTTCTCACCAAGTTGTCAAAAAACAACAACACTGAATATGAATTACTATAAATCTGAATCAGAATCTGCTCTGATGTGCTTTCAGTGTGTATACTGTATGGGAACTAACCAATGCAAAGACTTATCCACCCTAGGCATATTGAGTTAAACACTTATAATGCAACCATTCATATGTGACAAAAGTGCTGCACAAGTGAATGCATGCAGTATAATGAATGAATGCATCATGAGTCATACAAGGTCACATGTTCACAATGTCTAATTACTGTAGTTAAGTACATTTTACATTTTAGTCATTTAGCCAGAGCGACTTACAGTTAGTGAGTGCATACATTTTTCATAAGTAACATATGCTATCAATTAGTGAGCTCGTCGTTGAAACATACACTACGACCAAAAGTATGTGGACACCTGCTCATCGAACATCTCATTCCAAAATCATAAATGGACTTGCTTCCATTCAGCCATAAGAGCATTAGTGAGGTCGGGCACTGATGTTGGGCGATTAGGCCTGGCTCACAGTCGGCGTTCCAATTCATCCCAAAGGTGTTTGATGAGGTTGAGGTCAGGGCTCTGTGCAGGCCAGTCAAGTTCTTCCACACCGATCTCGTCATACCATTTCTGTATGGACCTTGCTGAAACAGGTAAAGGTCTTCCCCAAACTGTTGCCACAAAATTGGAAGCACAGAATCGTCTAGAATGTCATTGTATGCTCTAGAGTTAAGATTTCCCTTCACTGGAACTAAGGGGCCTAGCCTGAACCGTGAAAAACAGCCCCAGACCATTATTCCTCCTCCACCAAATTTTACAGTTGGCACTATGCATTGGGGCAGGTAGCGTTCTCCTGGCATCTGCCAAACCCAGATTAGTCCGTCGGACTGCCAAATGGTGAAGTGTGATTCATCACTCCAGAGAACGCGTTTCCACTGCTCCAGAGTCCAATGGCGGCGAGCTTTACACCACTCCAGCCGACGCTTGGCATTGCAAATGGTGAACTTAGGCTTGTGAGCAGCTGTTCGGCCATGGAAACCCATTTCATGAAGCTCCCGACGAACAGTTATTGTGCTGATGTTGCTTCCAGAGGCAGTTTGGAATTGAGTAGTGAGTTTTGAAACTGAGGACAGATGATTTTTACACACTACACGCTTCAGCCCTCAGCGGTTCTGTTCTGTGAGCTTGTGTGGCTTACCATTTCCAAGGCTGAGCCGTTGTTGCTCCTAGGCATTTCCACTTCACAATAACAGCACTTACAGTTGACCGGGG